GTGTGTGTGTGTGTGTGTGTGTGTGTGTGTGTGTGTGTGTTGTGTGTGTGTGTGTGTGTGTGTGTGTGTGTGTGGTGTGTGTGGTGTGTGTGTGTGTGTGTGTGTGGTGTGTGTGTGGTGTGTGGTGTGTGTGTGGTGTGTGTGTTGTGGTGTGTGTGTGTGTGTGTGTGTGTGTGGTGTGTGTGGTGATGTGTGGTGTGGTGTGTGTGTGTGTGTGTGTGTGGTGGTGTGTGTGTGGTGTGTGTGTGTGTGTGTTGTGTTGTGTGTGTGTGATGGTGTGTGTGTGTGTATGTGTGTGTGTGTGTGTGTGGTGTGTGGTGTGGTGTGTGTGTGTTATGTGTGTGTGTTGTGTGTGTGTGTGTGTGTGTGTGTTGTGTGTGATGTGTGGTGTGGTGATGGTGTGTGTGTGTGTGTGGTGTGTGTGTTGTGTGTGGTGTGGGGTGTGTGTGTTGTGTGTGGTGTGTGGTTGTGTGTGTGTGTGTGTGGTGTGTGTTGTGTGTGTGTGTTGTGTGTGTTGTGTGTGTGTGGTGTGTGTGTGTGTGTGTGTGTGTGTGTGTTGGTTTGAGTGTGTGTTGTGTGTGTGTTGTGTGTGTGTGTGTGTGTGTATGTTGTGTTTGTGTGTGTGTGGTGTGTGTGTGTATGGTGTGTGTGGTTGTGGTGTTGTGTGTGTTTGTATGTGTGTATGTTAAAACATTAATTGCCTTCCATGTTGATTTCTTATTTGCTTAACCATAAATCTAACCAGACACTGACTCAAGTCTCTATATTAATCTGCTCCATATTTTCTTCTTCAGTGGGTGCTTTACATTAATCTACGACTTGGAAGCAACGACTCTATCACTGTTGAAGGACCCATGGGAAACTTTCTATACCTCTTCTCCAAAATGATGGGCATCAAGTAATTTGGTATAATATATTACGTGTTTGTGGTTTTGTGTGTTTGTAAGTGTTCGTAGATACAAAAGCCTGGTTATGCTCGCAGGGTACCGTCTTCAGTGCTTGCAGCTAGTAGTGTGACGTCTTCAGAGTATGTAGGTACTGGAGCTAGGAGTGTGACGTCTTCAGAGTATGTAGGTACTGGAGCTAGTAGTGTGACGTCTTCAGAGTATGTAGGTACTGGAGCTAGTAGTGTGACGTTTTCGGAGTACGTAGGTATTGGAGCTAATAGTGTACCGGCTTCAGTGTTTGTACCTACTGAATCTAATTGTGTACCATCTTCAGTGTTTGTACCTACTGCAGCTCGTGCTGTACTGTCTTCTGCATTTTGTAATATGTCTAGTTCATCATACAGTCGGTTACATGAGTTCACACCATCTGTTTCTTTGCTTTACATTATAATTATTTTCTTGTCTTTGAAAGCTAATCTCAGCTAACATTCTTCTTTTCTCTCTCTGTCCTTCTTCAGGTACGAAACTGTGCGTCCTCCTGATGGAGTCTGGTGCGCTCGTGAACCCAATGGAACCCAGGGGCATGATAGGGATGCTTGTTAATGAGGTCAGTCAGGGTGGTTAGAGATGGTTGGTTAATTTGGTTTAATTAATTCCTCTCGACTACACAAGGGTCATTAAGGCTGTAAGTCTCTTGTTCACCACCAGTCGAGAATATTTTAATCCTTATAAAGCAGATTAAAGAAAAGTCTCAGTTTGTACGCACAAGAGACGTAAACATCTCAGGGTATATATTCTTGTGGTGAGGGAGATGAGTGACTGATACAGATTTGAGTGACACTTAAACTCATCCTTGTCTATTATAGGCTCAGGACATTTGCCATTATTTATTCTTTTTCCTTCACGCGTTTTATTCTCCGTTCTTAACTGTTTCTTCCCCATTAACCATATATCCTTTCATTGTTGGCTTCCCGGTAGGTTACCATTACCTTAATGATATTTTGCCGTTGCTTTTTCCGGCTGTTGCAACCTTCATTAACCGTTGTCGTAAAATAATCCCCACACCTACTTCATCAGGAGGTGAAGTTCTCCCTGGGCCTCTTATTGCCACAGACGAGAGGGAGTCACTGGTAGAACTAACGGTTCCCTTCTACAACGACTACTATATCTTCTTGACACGACCCACACACTCTAACTACGTGTCCGGCTTCATCAGACCTTTCGCCCCATTGGTAGGCAAAACTACTTAAGAATATATGATGAATATATATGAAAGCCTTGGACCAGTAGTTCTTTTCTGTTGTCTTGAAGATCTTGTTCTCCGACCATGTCACGAAGACCCTGCCCAGGGCCACACACACCATACTGACAAGGATCAGCAACCATACCTGTGGAATAGCACCCACATCTGTCACTGGAGGAGGCTTGATGCAGTGGTCAAGTTGTATATATATATATATTTATATATATATATATATATATATATATATATATATATATATATATATATATAAAATATATATATATATATATATATATATATTGCGTAATGGGACATTGCTGGACACGACGACGTGTGTTGCAAAAGAATGTGATTTCTCGAGCCTTGACTCGCCCTGGTGCACTTCAGGAGTCAGACGATTTGGTGAAGCGGAAAATCGCTGAGAATTCAGGTTATATAGTGAATTGCTGGAGGTCGCGACAGAATCTGGCTGACGGGAAGTACACTGCGGTCTGCGATAAAACCACAATGGATAAAATTGTGTCCTGGGATTTTAGGTGAGGAGTAGGATGATTGTTTAGCTTTTATTATTATTAGCAGGCGAAGAAATATTTGTTTTGTTTTCATTATGATTATAAAAATTGAGCCAGTATTATCACATTTATTATTAATATTATTATGGTAGTAGTAGTAGTTTCATCACCATCGTTATTATTATTATCATCATCACCACTATCTACATACCTTTCCAGAGCCAACCAATTATAAGACTTTTATCTGACATTCTTATTTTGCTGCTTCGGTTCCTCTTTACCAGAGTCGCATTTGGCAGTTACTCTTAGGGAACCAAGTCACAGAATCGAAAAAAAATCATCAGCATATGTAAGAATGATCACAAGATCATCCTTCTAGTCTCAACAAAAAAATCCTTTATGACTTTTATTTTTTTACACGACGCAAGTGACACTAATGCGCAAGGATTAGCTCTGTATGGAACCCTGACCTTCTCAACCATATAAGAAAACTTAAGGAGTTGAGTATCGCCACTAGGCTGAATGCTGAAATAAAAGAACTTGATTCTTGTGTTAAGCTCTAAAAACTAAATCTCACAGTGCTAGAGGAGACTCAGAAAGGATATGATCACAACATACAAGATACTTAGGGAAGCTGATAAGATGGACACAGACAAGATGTTTTAGAAGGCTGGAACCAAGACGAGAGGACAGAAATGGAAAGTGAACTAACCAATGATTTCCTATATCCTTTCTCAATCTAAGCTTATCCAATTTGAATAAGCTTATCCAATTTAAATAAGCTTATCCAATTTGAATAAAGTCCTGAGGATATCTCTCTTGGAGAGATATCCTCAGGGCCTTATTTATATCTCTTTCGTTAATACCCATCTTCCACCCAAAGGAGCCAGATACATGCAAAAATAAATTACCGTATAGTAAGGTTAATAAATGAAGGAAACATTAGGTGAAAGAGAACTCAATACACAAGTTCAAATGTATATACAAAAAATAATGAGGTTAGGGAGTCTTTTCACCAGTAGACTGCTACTTAAGAGGCTGGACCAAGCAGAGTCCCTCACCCGTAAACTAAGATAGGTACTTTGCTACATTTCTTCTCTGCATAGGTTAGAACACTTAAAAGAGCCAAGATTCTCAGAAATGAGTGGCTGGGGAAGATCACTGTTATAACTCAGTACCTTTCATTGTATTACCTAAAACTCTCTTCTTTATGTGGGATCCTGCAACTGATGGAGGCGGGGCTGTTCAACAAGTGGTTGAAGGAGGAGATCGCCAACACTACCGTCTGCCTGCGGCCTCCCAGCGCTGATCACGGTAACGATATCGAAGCCCTCAACATCGAGGCCTTCTCAGGACCCTTCATCCTCTTTGGTATAGGTGAGGCTCAGCGTTCCAGCTTGGATTCGGCGATTATGACTTAATTTCAGGCTTCCTTTGTAATGATTTCAATTTGTCAAATACTGTAGACAGCGTTGATCCCTTCGTCCAATTCTCCTTGTGATGGAGCATCCACGTATGGTTAGCATCTGTCTATAGCAGACCTAAATCCACTTGTAAATAAAGACAAGATAAAAGTTTATACATATATGTATATATATATATATATATATATATATATAATATATATATATATATATATATATATATATATATATATAATATATATATATAATAATATATTTAAATTTACAGCAAAACTATATGTATATTAAAATATACAGAAAATGATATGTACATGTATATTTTTTGTCAACGTGGGGATTTCCTTCTTCCATATGCTGACTGCGTATATTCTGCTCTCCAATTATATAAGTGTTTTGTATTATGTATTATTGTCTTATATACCGCTCTCTATTTAATGTGTTCTTTAGTTATATTTCCAACATTAAGAGTTATATATTATGTTTTCTGTTCAGTGTCAATAATGTATCCTTTACTTTGGGGTTTAAAGCATAGTAATACATATTATGTAATAGGAATAGTTCATTGAGTATTTTGTTGAATATTTAAGTGCCAAAATTAGTCTCTGTGAGAAACTTGTGATTGTGATGATCATATTTTAAATTCGAGGAATTAGACACATGTACAAGACCTGGGTATCTTTATCAGTAGATGTTTCGCCGATCAGTTCAGTACAGATATAATATGAAGAGAAGTAGAAGGTAAGGTTATCAGTCTTTCAACTTCAAATAAAGATAAGCAAGTGTTGCACATGTGTCTAATTCCTCATCTTGTCAGAATTGTATATTTTTATTGTAATAATACTGTAAAGCCTTCACATTGATTTTCCTTATGTTGTTGTTACTTTCCTGCTGTTGTCAGTTATTGCGTTTTAAGTGTTTTTATTATGTTCTTCAGGGATTTATGTTGGTGTCATAGTGTTTGTGGGCGAGCACCTGGCACAACACACGAGGAAACACAACGTTGCCGCTGTCGTAAAACTTTCCGAGAGCCAATTAACGCAAATTGAACACTAGGAGCTCGTTATCTGATTATATTTCCTGATTTCTGCCTGATTATTAGCCACGGACCACACCATAGGCGTGAACTCCTTCAGCATGTTGCCCAGATACGCAAGATAAAAGCCTGTAAAGCTTAAGTATAATAACACGCCGCTGGGGCCTAGTGACGATTTTTTTGTAGACTTCACGTCCTGCCTAACATGTTAAAAATTTCTGCAAGACTGTTTGTGGTTGTGATACATGTTTTCCGAAACCCTAGACATTAATTACTTTCAGAAACTTGATGTTATCACCTACATTTCCCATATGCACATAACACACATACACACACACACACACACACACACACACACACACACACACACACACACACACACACACACACGCGCACACCACACACACACACACACACACACACACACACACACACACACACATCACACCACACACACACACACACACACACACACACACACTGACAATTACTGACAATATTGATCAGTCAAATGCAATATAGTTACGGTACCTTTCCGCTCTATTACTCAGCAGGAAGGTGTCAGTTACTCTTATATAGCATCGCTCAGTGTCACTGGAAAATAATGTGCATATCATTACATGTCTGAGACTAATAAAACATTGTATTGCCGTTGATAACGCAATCCCATCACACGCTATCTATAAAAATGGAATGTTACTGTTGCAGAGTATTGCATATCGTCTGATACAGAGGCTAATTTTCCGGATAACGGTGTTCATATAAGAACATTTGATCAGTTGGTCTAAATATGCATTGCCATCCACTCGAGCGAGGCTGTAAAGAGCTGCGTTGACAGTACAGTACAGAGCCTGGAGGTGGTACACAGGTGGTCGTGGTGAGGGAGAGAAACTATGAAATCGCACATCGTTGGGTTGTGGGTTCTGGCCGCGACGAAATATGTTTGTGAAAACGAGATCCCTGTTACACGAAGCAATGAGTGTTGATAAAGCCTGGCATGCGCCATGAGCTTGACTCGTAAGATTATTATTGACTTTACACTGTGTGTGAAGAGCTAAACCCGTGTGGGTCATTCAGCGTAAGGAGTGGTGAAGACTCGATCCTCCGAGCGCTGATCTTGAAATGGAAGTAGTGATCTTGTAGCCAGCCAAATATGCTTTTCTCTTGGAAATCTTAAATATATCGTTAAAAAAAATATTAAAATCCGACGTTGTTACCTTCGATTTGCTTTCTCAAACGTTTCGGTGCTTCACAGTCCATCATCAGTGCTAGACCAGATACTAATCAAAAGGAAGTGCTGGTTTACCTAAAAAAAAAGAAACGCTCTAATTCAAACAAATTTGATATTCACCTCAAAACACTCAAATCTAATTTAAAACTAGCATAATTAATATCCTAACCCATTTCCTAACATTAGCGTGATATAAATAATAAAAACACACATAAACAGTTCTTAGGATTATTAAGTTTAAAGCCTGTCGACTGTACGAACATCAGGCCGCATACCACCTGTACATCACAGTCAACGATTACTCAATCCCTAAAATATGGAACATATAGAGATTAAAATAAACTCTCTGTATATACCCTGAGCGATATACACTTGTCTGTGTACATACCCTTGATATAAACAATTAAATGTAATGTGTGAGCAACTATTTGAAGGCGTTTAAAGTGACCGGGATATCTATTTATATTACACCGGTAACCCTTCATGTAAAGTAACGAGGCTTCATGTACATAGACGAGGCTTCATGTACAGTGACGAGGCTTCATGTACAGTGACGAGGCTTCATGTACAGTGACGAGGCTTCATGTACAGTGACGAGGCTTCATGTAAAGTAACGAGGCTTCATGTACATAGACGAGGCTTCATGTACAGTGACGAGGCTTCATGTACAGTGACGAGGCTTCATGTACAGTGACGAGGCTTCATGTACAGTGACGAGGCTTCATGTACAGTGACGAGGCTTCATGTACAGTGACGAGGTTTCATGTACAGTGACGAGACTTCATATAAAGTGACTGAGAGGAAATGAAGTCGAGTGTTTGCAGTGCTGATGACACAACTCTGTGAGTCAGGGTAAAGTGAGGTAGATCAACGAAGCAACAATGTTTGCTCACAGCAAAAGGAAAGACACAATTCAAGGAAAAACCCTTCTCCTTTTCCCTTCAAGGAAGGAGTACCTTAATGCAGGTGAAGGGCTCCTGATCCAAGAAACTGGATTAAATCTGCTTACATCACATTCCCTAGATGCTCTATGATTCCTACAGTTTTAGTTCTTCCTAGTATAATAATAATAATAATAATAATAATAATAATAATAATAATAATAATAATAATAATAAAAATAATAATAATAATAATAATAATAATAATATGCTAAGAGATGTAATGTTTAAAGTTTCGACAGAAATTCTCTAACTTAAGGAAAACCTTACAACTCGATCGAGCCTTAACAAGCATTAGACTCAGGGCCACCAACCAGAGGCTCCCGAGGAACCTGAATAACTTCACTTACTGCACTTAAATATGTACTCCGAAACCACTTAAAAGTGTAAAAGCTTAAAGAATAAAACGTCATGTCTCCGTGACGGAACATTTTACCCATAAGCAAAAAAACTGAATTTTATAAATAGCGGAGCTTCATTAACTGAGCAAGTTAATAGAGCTCGTACAAATTTGTTGCTCATAAGCTTACCTGGAGGTTACCTGGAGGTTACCTGGAGGTTACCTGGAGGTTATTCCGGGGATCAACGCCCCCGCGGCCCGGTCCATGACCAGGCCTCCCAATATATTATAGCAACTGACTTGTCGATGCAATAATAGAAGAATTAAGTCTAGAATAAACTTCCATTAATAACATAAACAAAAATATACAGAAGAAGTGTAGATGTTGGCAACTTCTACGAAAGACATGTTTATTGTTATTATCAGATAAAAAACAGATGTTCTAATTCATTTTTGACAAATATTTAAACATTATTAATTTTTATTTAATTCTGGTCTTAAAAAAAAATACTAATTTTATCCCTGTCTAGTAAAAAGTTTCTTCCTTTACTTAGTAATGGTAAAGTACCAGTTATTAGAATTATTGAAATTAGATAATATTGACAGTTTCAAACTGACGTGTTTTAGAGCAGATATATTGTAAAATATGTTGATCTGTGACCTGTGTTGATGTGTAAGTTATGTTGACGTGTGACTTATATTATGTGACCTATATTGACATGTGACTTAAGATAGCATGTGATCTATGTTGACATGTGACACTCTGTGTTGAAGCATCCATGAACCGAGGCAATACACGGGGGATCCTTGATGCTGGTGAAATACTCTTGTTCCCAGGACTAAGAAGGTGCCTAGCCATGCTAAGCGTTCTAGTGGTACACTCTGTAATCACAATTTTACTACATGTAAACCAAACAATAACCGAATTTCTGTAAACTCAGCATTGTAATCCTTATAGAGAATAAACTTTGAATTGAATTGAATTGAAGAATGAGTGCCTCTCATTCACCCTTCCTCCCCAGGGGTTATATGGCCCGTAAGTGTTTAGCCAACCCCATGAAGTGCCAGTGTGTTGAAAGCCGTCAAAGAGTTTTCAGTGGAGAATTCTTAATTCCTGGGCTAACACAGCACCTGGGTAATGGGAAGTACTCAGGTTTGATCCCAGGAAAGGGAGGGTAGTTCCAACTCCTTTCACCAAGAACCCTTCACCTGCATCATGGGCCCTTCACCTGCATCATGGGCCCTTCACCTGCATCAAGAGCCCTACAACTCCATCAAAGGCTACGCTGGTGGATGATCAAAGTCAGGCTGTTAAAACCTACGCTCGAGTGGACAGTAAATAACTGTTACAAGAATAATTCACAATACTGTAGCCGGAACAATTCACAAATAACCCAGACTGTCTTCTATGTTTCACTTCAGTCTTCTTCACCTTCCTGTCTTATGAATTTTTCTGTCCCACTAGCACGCTCAGTTCTCTTTTGACAATGTTGCAGGACGGACCGATACGTCTGGAGTTTCCTCTGCAAAGTGTTGCTTATTTGTGAACAGTGTTGGTAGGCAATCAGAATTCGAACAAATCTCTACAGGTAACCAGAGACTAAATAATCTACGGAGAGTTTCAAGATCGTGGGATCGAATCCTACATATAAGATCTTTCGCTTCTCCATTAGGAAAATTATATCTCGTTACACTGAATTCACGTAGCTTTTTTGAGACAAAAAAAAATAGTTAGGTGATACGATAGTGAAATTTAGCAACATAAAACAGGGAAGAACAAAGAGTCAAGAGGACTAAATCATACGTAAGGAAGAAGAAACCATGCCACTTGTAAAGCCGATCCTGAAGATAGCAGCCGAGGAGGTAATGTTCAGTGCGAATAACCATTGTAATCCCAGTGGTTGAGAGGCATGATGGCTCCTCGCACTGCCCATTCCAACTATTTACCAATCTCTCTTTCTCTCTAAAGTTGTTCTTCCTTTCATTTTTTCTGCATTTTTTTTTTTTAAGTAATATGATTTGGTACGTTTTAAGCAACTCATATATCCTAATTCTAGAATATATTTTTGCTATTTTTTGTACATTTCTAAATATTATTTTTTTATTTATTTGTTTATTTATTTATTTAACCACACTGACCGTCTCCCACCAAGATAGTGTGACCAAAAAGAGGAAACACATTAACCATTATTCATTCAATGACTCCCTTGCTAAAATGCGCGAACATGACATTCCGAAATGTTACGTCGCCATTCTTCCTTCGGAGGCATGAATACAGCTGCCAGTACAACTGTGGCGAATACCTACAGTGCATCATTACGTATGTATATCATAACAAACCCACAGAGGTCACACATGGATTGTCTGATTCGCTGCTCACCTGAAGACC